AGATTCGATTTTTGTGTGATATTTCGAAGGGAGATCATCACAAAAATTAGCCAATGAAATCAAATGTCCACTATGCTTGTCTTGCCCCATAAATAATATCAACTGCTACAGCAACTTTAAAAAGCTTCCCGTTAATTTGATTTTCATTTTCATTGTATGTAAGCATTTGTATAAATTTCACAACAACTGGATTTCTTTTGGAAAGCCATTCAGATGTAGAATATGTTAATAGGCTATCCAAACTAAACCTTTCCTGATTATTGATTAAACTAATGATATCATCATATAAATTGCTTCGTTCATGCTTAGCAATTTCAATAATTAATTCTACTCTTGATTGTTGATCATTGAGTGGTGCATTTATTTTTCATTTAATTTGCTATTTTCATTTAATAATTTTGTATTTTGTATTTCTAAATCTTTTATTCTTTGTTCATTTTCTTTTATGATATTAACATAATATATACATTGTTTTTCAGAATTTGTTAATAGTTTTTTTGTATATGCTAATTCTGCCATAAGGTTAGCATGGTCTTTGTCTTGTACTTGGACTTGATCTTTCAATGTTTCAATAGTCAACTTAAATTTTTTTCATTCATTTTCTTCCTCTTGTACATCTTCCATAAAAGATGGGAAGTTTGAATTATCTATCTTTTTTAAATGCTCAATAAAATAATCATTAGCAATAAGTTGATTATAATGTTTTTCACATAAAGAATAATTTTTTAAAGAATTAAGTAATAATAATAATTCAGGCATGTACTTAGCCAAAAGTTTTATTTTTTCAGTTGATTTCTCTCCTGATGCATGACGCCATTGCTGACTCTCTTTAGTTTCACATTGAGTTAGTTGGTTGTCTTGATATTTCTCGGCAATGTTTTCAAAAAGACATGGTAAATCTTTTGCTCTTGGTCTTGTATTTGCCATTAATATATCAAAATAATTGTAATTTCAGGTTTTATTTATGAAAAAACTGCTTTAAAGGTTTGTGGATCAGTCTGGATTATGAAAGTGTATGTTCGTTGGAATATATTCAAATAGTTTTTTTTAAGGTTCGATAAAATATGCAGCGTTTAGTAATACAGAAAATTTATTTTTAATTCGTTTGTAAATATATGAATTGATCGATGGGATTTTTCTGGAATTCATTTCCATATTTGGAATATTCCCTGACTGTATTATTGTAGATATTTGACATTTATCCATGAATATCTGTAATAGTAATAGTAATATTAAAGGTTGATATCTGGATAACATCTATATTCATTCATTCATTATTCATTTTGCTCTTAAAATATGTACAGCCAACCCCATCTAAATGCACACACCCTTGTAAGTGCACCCTATCATTCAGTCTCCAAGGTCAGGACTTGGAGATGGGGCAGTCAAATGAAAAACAGTTCAAACTCAGTTCCACTGGACCGAGGCCAAGCTGAACCAAGTTGCTTCATTCCTAGAAATAATCAACACCTTCTATATAAACTACCCTCTTTAAATGCACACATGTGTCATTTATATGATTACTGAGCAATCAAATTTGCTAATATATAATTTAGACCCTGTTAAAACATAAGTGTAACAATAATTAAATACATGTTATAATGAACTTTTAGTAAATTCATTATGATGAGATTTGACTATAATTATACTTTCCAAGGTTTAAATTGCTGGTAACATGAATTATTTTGGAATGTTGGCTTGTTCAGTGAGTTGATTATCAAATAGATTTTTAATACAATCAATTGACCCATATAGGATTGAGGTGTTACACATCAGTATAAACACAAACATAGTTGAGCACACATATAAAAAATTATATGTAAAGATTTTTTATTAGGTGAAATGTAGCTCATTTTTAATAATAAAAATAAATAATACAGTGAACCCTCTGTAAGTGCACCCCCACAGGAACATAGTGCTATTTCTTGTGAGTGTACATTTATGGAGGGTATACATAGTGCGTGCATTTAGAGAGGGTTCATTTAGGGAGGGTTCACTGTAATAATAATAATAATAATATTGTAATAATTATAATAAATATTCTCCTAAAATTGCTTTTGCTGCTTCTTCTCCAAAATTTTCTTTGCTGCTCTCACACTTGAGTAACAGATAAAAAAGCATACATAATAAGTATTTGTTATTATTATATTCATTGTGCAATTTGATAATTATAAAATATTTAATTTACCATTTGTTCCCTCTGCTCTTTTCTAACAGTTGCAAGGTTTTCTTTTGTGGATAAATACATGATTTCAACTTTATCTATCTATACATTATACAAGTTAAAATAATTATTTAAATCTAATTTGCTTACACTTCTTTTTTTTTAGTTTTATGATATAATGTGTAAAACATGATGATCACCATAAATCCATTGTATTAATAAATCTCTACAAAATTTCAAAATCTATCTCGTCCACCAATATTACACTTACAGTTATAAAAATAATATCAAACGAAAGCCTGAATCACTTAATGGTTGTAGATTTTTATAAAATTTATAAAATTTTTTCATTAATCTTGTTTAAAAATTTTTTTTCAGCATATTATTTTTTTAAAACAAAAAATTAAAAAAATAAAACCATTGTTTTGAAGTATGTGTTATGTAATGTTCATATATCAAATTTAAACAAAGGTTTATTTTACAAATCTAGAGGAGATAGAGTTTGAATTTTCATATTGAAAAAATTTACATATATTGATCGGCGAAAAATCCGCACATATGATTTTTTATATGTGTGCTCAACTATGTTTGTGTTTATTATAATTTGTAACACCCCAACCATACCTCATCTAAATTCCCTAACTTTGCTACTATTTCAAATTCATCATTGGATCCTGATATCAAAAAAGGATTATTATCAGAAGAAAGTTGGTCTTGGGAAATGGTTGATTTTTCACCTGGTACCCAAAAAGGATTATCTTCATTATCATCATCATTATTACTATCTTGTTTGTATTACAAAGAATAATCAATTAAAATTTTGTTAGTCCAGCAACAGTAAATCAATGAAAATCATCACCTTATGAGTTCTATTACATTTTGATGTTTTTTTGTTGCTATTATTGAGGAACCTTTTCACGATGCTGGTGGTAAGGTTGTGGGCGAAACCTCTTAATGACTGTCAAAACTCTGTCGATTGATTTCTGGAGGAGTTTCTCCCGCAACCTTAGCTGGTGGTAGTTGAGTGGCATATTTTGAATTTGTTCTGTCATCACCGTAGCAACAGTTATATGTTGGTTTGTTTGTGTGCAAGAAATGAATCAAGAGTAAATTTTTGATCCATCACATTAGCTAATTGGGGAATGAATGAAATACCTGCAACTCCTGAATTTTCATCCTTGCTTGTTCCTCTTGTAAATTGTTTCTTGCCGCAATATTTTGTCTTTCATCTTGAAATTTCCAAAAAAGCTTTATTATCAATGACCATTTGCTTCCCTACAAGCAATATAAAACATGAGTACCTGTGCCTAACAGACTTTGTTTGATAATTGGTCCAATTCACATACAAGAAAAAATACAATAGGAGACATCACAAACAGTCAAGCACCTATATTGTATTCAATTATTGAACAACTATCTTTTGCAAACACTTGGTTCCCAAAGTCCATTGAGTATAGCTCACCAACAGACAAGCAGTCATTCCCACTACAAGCGCCACAGGTTGTAGAGTAGTTGATGTACTGATGATTCTAATCCAAATAGTATGTACACTTTACTTGCCTTAAAAGCAGTTTTCCACTTTAGTACTTCCTGTCCAATCTCGGATACTTCAGTGTAGATTTTACTGATTTCATTCAGTTCTTTCTTGTAGTGATCATACTCAGTTTTCATGTCTTCTAAATTTCCAGCAGAAAGTCAAAAATCTAAAAATTTTTTGAGTGAAGGCTCGTTTGTACTCTCCCAAAAGGCTAAATGATCATAAGTGATAGGTTATGTTATAAATCATAAGAACATCAGCACAGTTTATGAGTAAACTTTATCTTACCAGGGTATTTCGCAGCATTTAGACATTCAGGAAGAAGGTGCATAATATCAAGTTAAAGGTGGATTGAGAAAATTTTGTATATTATTTTTTTTCTACAAAAAAGGAAATAATGTACATAATAATAACAAATGCAAAATGACCAATCCTATTAAGATAAGGTTGCCACACTTAAATATGCAATTGAAGGTCTATTGAGACATCAAGGTCATCAAGAACTTTCTGCTAATTTCAATCTCTATGTATTTATTCCTACGAAATTGACAGCCAAGGTGTCTGAATATTTCAATGCAACTCCTGATCCAAAACAAGTTCATGTTATTGTAAAACCAAAAGAATAATTATTTCTTATTATTTGTATTTTCGAATTCAAGTAAATAGTAATATCAGCATAGAATCTCTTTCTGTCTTTTTTTCAACTGCTTTATATATGAAAATAGATATAAAAAAATACATACAGAAATACAAATGTTCTAATTTTAAAAGGATTAATTGTGCTGGTTTGACATTTTGGGAAGGATTTGAGTTAGCCAGATATAAGGCTTGCATTAATAAATTCTTACTCACAATCAAAATATTCCTTAAGGTAACAACAGTTGTATAAGCAGTTTTAATTGTTGTGGTGATCTTGGTGTTAGGGGAATTCCTGCATGGTTGACATGAAAATAGTGAGATAGACTACCTGCATCATTTACTAGAACATTCAAATACACATTTTCACCAGCAACCTGAATCCCTACTATACCAAATAGATTGCAAGGTCTGCATCCTAAATTAACAAAATTCATGCCATCCAATGTTTCTTGCCACAACTTTACTTCATCATTAGCTTTTTTTGTATCATTACAAATGATTTGAGAGCACTCTGCATATGTAAGTTTGTTGATTTTTCCTCAATACTTCATCAGTACCATGACATCAGGTATTTTCCCAATTCGTTTTCCACTACCTCACCAAGATTCCTTTGAAATTTGCTTGCCAAGCACTGCCGTTCTGCCCTGTAATAAACATCAACTTTAAAGATCTTCATAATAAGGTCATTACTTAGCTAAATATAAATTTTGTTTACATGCTCAAACAAATTCTTCCGTTTGGCATATCCTCTAAACTAGCTCAAAGTAAAGGCATTATCACATCCACAATATAGGTCCCTTCACTTTGCTCTTTATGAGCTGTACTATCTTTAAATGCAGGATTATTCCAGACCTCACTGCTAAATGAGTAAAAGAAGAATAAGAAACCAATCATTAGTTAATCATCCATGAAAACAAAATTACTTACAGAACACTCAGTATATGCTCAGCTCTTTTCTCTAATGTAGATATTTTTTCTTTCCAAGTCTTATCATGTACAATGTTTCTAGGTATATCTGTATTAATCACCTCATTAAAATCACATACAAACTGCTCACACTTAGAAACAACTGACTCAGGTAATGCACATTTCATGTTTTCACATGGTTCCTAATAATAAATAAGAAAGTAAGAATACTAGGTATCATTTCATGGATATATTTGTGAATCATATAAATTTACCATGAAAGCATGTTTTTGTCTCCATCCTAATTTTCCACTAAAACCGAATCATCACTTAAAACCATATTAGCTTTTGGATCTTGCCATGAAAGGTCATAATGTATTTCACCAAATTTTTTTTGAGGGTTTCATAAAGAGATACATCAGAATCAGTCTTGGGACTCTATATGAAAAGGTGAAAAAGTGAGTATCTAAAAGTTTCAAATTGAGCAAGAACAAAAATATAAATTATGGATACCTACACTAAGACTTGACTTTAATGCATTATAATTTTTTTCTATTTCTTCTCTCGTTTTATCTGGAGTGTCTTCTCTATCCTATTTATTAATTTATATCAGAAAATATTAATACATTGAGCTTTGACTTTTTTAAGGACTTTTACCAATTATATAATATATTACCATATTTAATGCTTTTAATACTTTCAAATCTACAATGCTTTTGTAAGTGATCATCATATGCAACAGATGAAATTTGTTAGGTTTGCACAAAATATATATTATGTGCACATAATATGGTACTATTTTTCAGAAATTACATAGGCTACAAGCATTTGACAAAAAAGTCATGCACAGCCAGGGAAAATATTACCCTCAACATCTTGAGGCCTCCCTAAAGATGTTGCTCTACTGGGTTTGCATCTCCCCAACCTTCAGCAGTGACCAACAATGTGAATGAAGCTCATCTGTTGTAGTATCTATCATAATATTTACAAAATGTTTCTAATTAATTTGAGACTAACCTCTGGTAGAACTTCCAAGACTCTTGTTCTTCATTCCATATCAGTTATTTTCATTAAGGCCAAATCTACTGCACGATCTGCTAAAGTTATGATGTCTTCATATCTACCCAAATTGTTGCCATTCATTGCCAGATAAACTACATTCGCACCACAAACTGCATCTAAATGTCCAGTTAAAAAAAGATTTTTGATTTGGGATACTATGTAAAAATGCTTTATAAAACAGTGATGACAAATGACCAGGTCATTTGCCTGATTTGAAATGACCACCAAATGACCAACCCAAATGACATCAAATGATTATGTCATTTGATGGTCATTAAGGTCATTTGGGTTAGTCATTTAAATAAACCAATATAAATTTTACCAATTTATTGTATGACAAAGAGGTATATCAATTCATTTTTTAAAAAAATATATATATAGAAGATATGGGTAAAGTTCCTCACAATTTCTGAGAGCTCTTTACTTTGTTGAATACAGAAAAAAAAAACTTCAAATAAAAAAGCTGTTTGTAATTTTGTATTAAAGAGTATACATTACCTGTTGCATCTGTAAAACCAGATTGTTTTGTTTCAAACAAAGCAAAACTTTGTCACGGGCATCTTATAAAATGTGTAAATTTTATGCAACAAGTTGAAACAGGTGAAAGGGAAAGCATTATATCAAGAACAGTTCCTGAAGACATCAAAAAAAAAATGAAAAAAGACAATGATGCAAGTCACTTAGTCACTGAACTTTTTATTGGCTATGTAGATCCTTGATCTCCTCAAAAATGGAAATGTATGACAAAAAAAAAACAAATCATAGAATTAAAGCTAAACAAACCAATGATTTCATTTCATTGATATGTAACGTTACCATAGAGGAATGATCCATCAAAGTTCACGAATTTACTATGTTAACCCTCAGATGGTGTGTTACACAAAAATTATATTAAAAATGAACAAATTGGAAGAATTGAAATCTTTGAATTTTTAATGGTCAATCTTTATCACGTGGTAATAATAATAATGAAATATTACACAAGATCAAAAATTTATCTATTTTAGCATCATGTTGACATTAAATTAAGTTGGTTTGGATTGTGTCTTCATCACAAAGAGCAAAAATCACATCACTTTGGTCAAGACAATATATTTGGATCTTCAAAAAACATGTGACTAAATTTTTTTATTTCATTTTTGATTGGAATAATTTTTCTCAAAATTGGCATCATGGCACAAAAAGTTCAGTGACTAAATGACTTGCACTATAGGGAAGATGAAGAAATTTCAGATAAAAATAATAATAATAAATAAATATAGTAAAAATAATTTAATAATACTGTGTATCTATTTTTACATTATAATATTTAGAAACTGAATCATCAGGAACTGAAGAGTTACCCATCAAATCATCAACAGCCACTTCTAACAAACAACCTTTAATTGAGAATTATTTTTCAAAACCTTTATCAAAAAAAAAATAATTCATACTTTGAAATTTTATTATTAAGAATGTTAGTTTCAAATGGAACTACCTCTCTTGTATCACTATAGCTAGATTTCTTGCTTTTGTTGGTTAATTGTCCTCTCATTATAAAACTAGCATATATTTTTTTAAGTCCTGAATTATCATTAATCATTGTCCCCACATTATTAGACCACCACTCTTGGTCTGTTAAATAATAGTTATAAAGTATTTACAAGAATGATGTTATATAACATGAGTTGTGAAAGTGGGGATAGGATTGGTATTGCTTGATCTCCTTTTTATTGGAAATCCGAACTATTATTTTTGTTTGACTATTTTCTATGTTATTATTCAAAAGATCTTTTGTGGTGCCTGGGGGTCTTCTATCTTTAATTCCAGCACCCTTTTTTGAATTTTTGCCACAATATGGTTTGGTTGTACCATACTTTTCTGCAATTTTCTTCCAACGTTCCAATTCACCATATTGCAATTGATGATCTTTAATTCGATTTCTATAATCTGATTCTAAAGTAATTACAAATAGAAGCAAGTTTTCCAAACCTGTTATTATTGATTGTTGGATTGACCCAGTCATGTAATATTGATTATGAATAGACTCTTGAGCATTGATTGTTTTAGGAATGGATTTTAAGAGTTCTTTGTCCATAGTACTTAACACAGGAAAAAGCATTTTTCCTGCATCTGTATAAACCCACCATTCTAGCCATGATGTTGTATTGGGCCAAGTTTCTTGAATAATTTTAACATATTTATAAAATTCTTCTTTTTCATCTATCTCTAGAAGTTCTAATGCAATTGATTCAAATTTTTTTGATGTTTCATGCTTTACAACTGCATGATTCTTGTAATTGATTGTCTAAAGTGTTCTACGCAGCCTTTCAATAGTGTTTTAGCTTCATTTCTCAAATATTCTTTATGTGACTCTATCAAAGGCATCGGCAATGAATAATTTTTATTTTGATATTTTTCTAATCCATGTTCAATGTAAGCTTGCAGAAATCCATTCCTTTCAGCAGAGCTAAAGTCCATAACTAGATCGTATTTATTAGTGGGATTATTACACTCATCAATCCATTCTATCAAATACTTAAAATGTGCTTGATAGTGAACAAAATCTTCTTTATAAATTATTGATATTAAAACAGGGTTCCATCTTTGAAGTACCTCACAATATATCAAACTATTATTAAATATTATTTAAATTAATAGAAGATAATTAAAATATAATGACATTAAAAATTATCTCAGCGGAAATGCAATAGTGAAGTATTTGTATGTGCTATCATTCAATATAGCTGAGGTACTAAGATTTTGGTTTTTCATCCATTCAGATTGAAGTGTAATGATTCCTTAAATCTATGTTGCAAATGAATTCGGGATGCTCTTGTTGGAATTGGTAGATATCAGTAAGAAAATTATCTCCACTCTTACAAGAAGTTTTAGTGATAATATTTTCTTCATCTATAATTTTTCTTCAATAATAAGCAATGTGATCATTATTTGCAAATGCTTCAGAAATATTCCTAACTAAAGTTAATGGGTGGTTAGCATCCAAGGATTGTCCCACTAGAAGTTTTTGTGGCAAGACATCAGGAGCTGTTTGGACATGCTTTTTTAATTTGTCATGCTGATGATTAAATAGTTTTTTTAACAGTGTTTTTTGATTATTGTGATGTCCTTGGTGCAAATATAAAAATCTGTATCCACTTTCATCAGGCTCATCCAGTGTAATAAATTTACAAGTTACTGAACATTCTATCAGACTCAAAGATCCTAAAGTTTTAATAGATTTCAGAATTTATATAGTTTATGAATTTGAATTCAATGTAAATTAATATACCATCACAATTGGTTAATGGACAGCCATTATGAAGTTGTTCTCCTATTTTCTCCCCATGATCTTTAATTTTTGGCCTGACTTGTGTACTACATTTTGAACATTCAATCGTTCCCAAGTACCATTTAAGATTTATTTGTGCATTATAGGTGGAATTTCTTCTTGATTCTACACAATCAAAAGCCCATCCACTCTGTAACCAGTCTTTTGGCTTAGTAACATATTTGAAGATCAAGTTTCCACAAGGCCAATGTGGATAGTTACTACCTTCATATCCATGGGAATTAATACAGGCGTGATCAGATTCTACAGTTGAGTTGTAATCAAAAAATTAATTTATTTGATAATAAATATATACATGTATAAATGGTAATTTAAAAAGCAACAAATTATGATAAATTACCTTGTTGGCTAATTGTTTCTGCAAATTTATTAAATTAATTCATTTTTATTTAGATAAAGATTTCTGATGATTTAGAGTTTCATTCATGTAATTAATTTTAGAAAATTTTTATATATCTTTAAATCCCAACCAAGTCTTTTTTTATAAAGAATCTTTATCTACAAATTTAATAAGAACAAATAATTGATTTTAATTTCTTATTCAACTAAGTCTTTTTTAAAGTATAAAGAAAAAATTTTATCTATGAATAAATAATTGGTTTTATTTTCTTGTTGTTAAATTTTTGATAATCCACTAAAATCTTTCTGTATTATTAAAGAAATCAGCCAAGCCTTTTTTAAAACATAAAGATCTTTATCTATAAATTTATAGAAACAAATAATTTTGATTTTTAGCAAATGATTTATTTCTTATCATTAGATTACTTTTAAAAAAATGGAATAGTTGCAACCACGAGAAAATTGGATAATTATAATTAGAACAGTTTCCTTTTTAATAATGAACAATTAGAACAGTTCCTTTTTAATAATAAACAATTAATTTGTTAATTTAATGTTAAAGATAAAAATGTATGAAGATTCTTACTAACAAAAAACAGAATAATTCAATTTTTGCAGATCAGATTATGCCTTTTTTAATAATTAACTCAATAGTTAATTTAATGTTAAGATAAAAATGGGATTCAGTTGTTAATTTTAATACTAATCAAAACTGTCAAACAAATCACATTGTATTTTTTAAATGTTGGTAAAAATGAAAAGTTATTGTGGAGATTCTTATAATAAAAAACAGAATAATGCCTTTTTAAGATAATAATAAATAGATACTAACAGAACAGCTTGATGAATTAATTAAAATAAGAAAAATATTTGAGGAATCAGATCAAAAACCTTTGACCCTTCAACAATTACAACAACTGTTCATTCAAGTGCTATTTACACAAGTAGATTATTGAATTTTACAAATCTTTCTCAACCTGTAAATTCCAACAAAGTTA